ACAATTTACCCATTGCACCCTGTACATACACGAGATTTTTTTTATTATTAGCAATTTAGGATTATGACCAGTACTCGGGTCACTTAATCTTTGTGCATTAATTAGTATTCAACTTGCTTAAATGGATGTTTAAATATAATTTATGCTTTGGTTCATACATAGAAAAGAAAAACATTCAATGTAACTAAATTGGTAAAATTCTTGTACAGTTTAAAAATAACTTATTTAGTACTCTTTTTGTTTAATTTCTCTTCTATTTTGGGGGTTGCTTAAGCCATTCTAACATCAGTAGTTTACTAAAATTGGAGTTTAATTGCTTATAAACAAGTTTCTTATAAAAAGAATTATGTTTTCTTATAATTTGCAATTACCTGATGTGGTTGTTAATTAATGATGTAATTGTTAATTAGCTACCTGACTTTACTTCCACATAAATATCTTACTATGTTCGTTGTATGTATGTTTGGCGAATTTCATATTCAATGTCTACCTGCCAAAATTCTATTCTTGATTCCAAACTTTTCAAGAATATTTAAACATTTCAACTTTGGATCGCAACAAGAACATTGTCAGGTTGAATAAATACGCAAACAAAAGAGATGAATTTAAATAAGTACTAAAACGGACAATGCCCTTAAATCGAAAAATCACTTCCGGGGTATCCTTTTATCTAAACCGTATTAATGTCTGGCTCTTCCGTATATTACAGCAATCGAAAATCAAATCCAAAACCAGATAGAGACTATATTTGACACTCAGACCAAATGTGGTCCCCAGTGTGAAGAAATTAGCATCATTCTGGATATGAGAAGATCAAACGTTACGTTTTGTAAGACCGTGCTTACTGCTCCCAGACAAAGCTTGAAAAATTTGCTCATCTTGGCTTCTTATGAAAACGAATGTTTCAAGTAAGTTATAGTCACTGCAAAGAATGCACAATAGAAGAGGTAGTCAGCACTAGCAATATGGGAATGGAACCCTAACATTTAGAATTTGTGTAACATGGAAATTTGGCACGGTAAAAGCACTTGGAGAAATCATAGAATTTTTTTCATATTTTTTTGGAGATCAGAAGAGATGAGGAACGGTAAAATGTTATTTCTATTCTATTTTGATTTTTGACTTACAAGAGTGTACTGAAATATTCTCAACACGACCCATTTCCCCAAATCCAACCCAATGATTAAATAGCAATTTTTTTTTTTTTGAATGGTTTCCTGATTAAGCCGATACCTTTTCAGCACCAATTCGTACATAGGTATGTGTAGATGAGTACACATATAAATATCCTCGTGCAAAGTTACTATATTCAAATTCACAATTTGTTAAAAATTGATTAATATATAAATGTATATTTAGTATATATCTAAGCGTACGTACATTCATACATGGTAATAGCCGGCTAAAAGTTTCCGAGCACATTTGTCTACTAGGGCGGCTAGCAAATCCCCGTTACAGGGACATTTGTATTTATTCATCGCAACTAAGCTGAGCAGACGTTAGTTACAGTTTCAGAGAGAGAGAGAAAGAGAGAGAAAGAGAGAGAGAAGAGCATAATTTAGTGTGATCATCAGTTTGAACAAGGCTAGTCTGCTCAAGTAAAGACTTGTGGTTTTCTGCGAGAGCAACCATCGACGGATTCCGAACAGCTTCTAACCATTCGGCCACGCGCACATATTTTACCCGAAGCATACATACGTACATACAAAGATACATAGCGATTTCTTGCATACAACTGGTTGAAGTAAACTGATAATTGTCTCATCAATCTGAATCCGCATATCGTTTCGAGTTTTTTTTTCAAGAACAATTTCGATATACGGATGGCCCAAGAAACCAGGCGAATAACGTGTACGACAGCGTTATAGTAAGCAAGCAAAAATACACACACACAGAGAGAGAGAGAGAGAGAGAGAGAGAGAGAGAGAGAGTCTATTAAAGAAAATTACAGGCAGAAAGTAATATCATAAATCAAAGATAATATAAAGCAAAGAAAAATGACAAGTTCTGAAATAATATATGTCCGATGAAATCCTAACGGATGAAGAAATTTTCCAGATTTTCATATTTTTCTAATATATATATATATATATATATATGTGTGTGTGTGTGTGTGTGTGTGTGTGTGTGTGTGTGTGTAAACCCCTGATTCTGAAAGCCCTGATTTCGAGAAAGTCAGTCTAGGGCTGAAGAAGACTGGCAAAAGGTTGTGCCGGTTTGAAATAGACTATACTCGCATGTGGTAATTTTGTATTTTTTGCTGTATAATATATATATATATATTCAAGTTAAATGTAACAGACAACGAATGTCTAATAAGTTTGATCATGAGACGTTCTAAGCTTCCTATAATGGCTTTAGTTTCGGGAGAAAATAAAGGCAAAAACTGACCAAAATTTGGATATTTTTTTATTATGCTGTTCATCGATCTAAGCTTTTGGTTCACATGAACCATCATCATCAGTGTGGTTATATATCCAAATGTTGGACAGTTTTTGTCTTTTTTTTCTCCCGAAACTAAAGCCACTATACGAAGCTTATAATCGCTCATGATCAAACATAATAGACATTCGTTGTCTGTTGTATTTAACAATATATGTTTGAATAATAATCTGCTGCCCCAATACAGTACACACACACACACACACACATATATATATATATATATATATATATATATATATATATATATATATATATATATATATATATGCTACATTAACCTACAAAGTCTATTTAATTTTTTCAATGCATTTTCCAATTTTCGAATAAGATGTTGTTTATCGTGAGCAAAATTGTGAATAAAATGTCCGAAGTTCATTTTTTTTTTCGGCTTTGTTTAAGTATTTCCGTCTGTCAGTCATTATGACGAACTGGATATTGTCGGTGTGATAGAGAAAATTTTTTGGGTGACACCATGACATTTTCTCGAGTGTTGGAATTGGAATAAGTGTAAAGTGAAGTCATGCGTAAAGTTTAGTCGAGTCTGTCACTCATTTTACCAAAATCGCAGTATTGAAGGGACAGTAACTCAAAGGCCGAGTTTAAGTAGTCATTAATACCCATTCTACTTCTCAAACCTTCACCTCACCGTGGTAGAAAGATGTGATTGTCTCGTATTGGCCTTATCCGTTATCCTGCACCAGGAGTCGAACGCCTTCTTAGTTTTTCATTTACAAGATCAAATGTTTTGTTTATCTTAGGACAAAAGGTGAAAGGCCTTGAAAAGTATACGCAGGTCACTAAATTAGTTATATTTATTATCAGCAAGAACATTTAATTAAACTAATAAAAATAAAATACTTTTTTTCTACTATGAAAACTTTAATATTTAACGTGGCTTAATATTTACATATACATAAACGCTCATTCACAAATATGTATATACACAAAATACACGCACATATACGAATACTACACATACTCACACATACATATGGATACACATACCTGTAAACATATACATTCAGATGTTCATTCAAGTTTGTTAGTATGTATTTAGTATGTATGTATATCTTGCAAATCAGTTCAGAATATTTAGTCTGTATTTAATACTATTTTCCAACTGTTGCTATTATTATGAATTTTGCAAACTCAACATGGATACTTAATGGAGTTAATTTTCTTGAGATCAGTGTTTTGGGTTTTCTGAAATAGCTGACAAATTTTAAAATCTTCGGTTTTATGCCAAGGAGAAATATTAGTTTGTAATCCTCCCTTATCAATAGCTTCGTAAATATTTCTCTTGTCACTTTCAAAGATGTTAAGATCAATAAGTGTTGTGTTTGTAATGTTTCGATTTCCCATTGTTATTTTTTAAAATAATGATCTTCGTTTATCAAAAGAACGTAATTATTTTTCATTTTTATTTTCATTCAAAGGCTTATTTAAATCAGATCAGACAGTTCTCTTCCAGTATAGCTATAAATTATTATTAACTAAAAATATCCTTGGAAAATTTCACGATTTTCCGATTTGAATTTTCTTATAAATCTTATAATTGAATTTTCTTATAAATCTTAATTCTTAAGTTCTATAAAGTATCCATAGAAATTCCCTATCACATCGTTAAATATCTCAGCTTAACAAAATTTTGCAATAACAATCATAAATATGAATGCTGGTTGTTATTTTATCAAGTAAGGTTGGTACAAATGAAAAAATTTGAAACTGACAACTGAAACAGACGTTAAACATTTCTATCTTCCCTTCTCTTTCTTTCTTTCTTTCTTTCTATTTCTCATTAAAATCAAATAACATTTCTGATATGTCTTTTCTGTCTTTATGAGCTATTGTCAGGGCGTAAGAGTCGTGTTAACGAAGGGAGGTATTATAAGTAGAATTATAAAAAGATGATTTTTTCAATATAAGTTCCAAAATTATTAAATTAAATTATTAACGACTTTTTCGTACAAACTTTATAAACCATGCAAATAATTCCTGAAAAATAATTTTGGTAATGTTAAATAAACAAATAAATCTGAAAAAAAAGTAAAGAAAAAAATAAAAAGAATTATTATTTGCCTTTCCTTTTTACTTCGGGTCACGGAAATGAACGAAAGACAACGAACGAAGTTTTTAAATGTTTTTCCAATTTTTACACGGGGACGTTTTCGTGGTTTTGGCAGCAGATGATGAAATCTAATAAAGTAAAAGAAAATAATACAAGATCTTAATAGTACCGACAACTTTAGTTCTAATAGTAATATTGGTAGCCTTTGTAATCTCAGAAAAAGTGAGCAGTAACAGTAATTATAGTTGCAATATTTATTACTTTTGTATATAACAACAAAAATTATTCGCATTTTTTTTATGTCGACTGGTTTGATCACTCTTTGCCGCCGTTTCTATTATCAATACTTTTCATCTATCAATTCTTATTCATCGTTGATTTCGTTTTAAGATCACGTTAAATGCAGTTTTTACTCATATTTAATTTATTTAATATGTTTTTTCTTTTCTTTTCTCTCACATTTTCTTTATTTTTCTTATTCGAGCAGCTTCAAAACAACAGTAAGAGATTCCCGACTTAGAGGTACAAGAGGAGAGTATATTTTTTCACTGAACGGATTGCCAGAAACCAACTATAATTATTGGATTTCATATGAGGTGAATGGAACAAAAGATACAGGTGAGATATATAGACGCATCTTATTTGAAATTATGGGCACGGCCTATTCATCTTTTTAAATTCATTCTTCCCGTCTCCTTACCATAAAACATTGTATATACAATATATACAATAGATATTTATTAAGTTTAGGTTAACAAATCACAAAGCCAATGATAGATATAGATATTTATTAAGCTTAGGTTCAATACACAAAGCCAATGTTATATACTATAGATATTCATTAAGCTGAGTTTAACAAAGAACACAAAACCAATGATATAGATTATATTTATTAAGCTTAGTTTACCAAAGCACAAAGTCAATGATATATAATATAGATAATTATTAAGCTGAGGTTAACATAGCACAAAGCCAATGCTATATACTATCGATATTTATTAAGCTTAGGTTAACAATCATGAATATGGCATATGGCGTATGGCTTATTATTCCAGTCAAAGAGAATCTAGTCTGTTCTTACCTATTTTACAATGATTTCTCATTGCATAAACACATTGACATTAAACCTGACAGAGAAGCCAACAGTGATTAACGAGGTATTTCTTCCAGGAGGAAACTGTAATATTGCACCTCGATAGGGAAATGTTAGGTTTCCTTTATGTTTTCAATGTTCTTATTGCATTCATTACTTATAACATTCACTTGATTATTATGTTACCCAAATGAAACTTCTCGCGCTAACTGTACGTCAACACATCATTTCTGAAGCTTTGTTTTTCTGACTTCCAGGTTCTTTTTTGCATCGATTTTTTCTTTTGTTCTAAAATCCAAATACCTCTCACAAAATGTTTTTATTACTTATGATGTTTCGAAGACTTTTATCTCTTCGTTTTGTTTTGGTTTTTCTGTAAATATAGAAATATAATTTGATTTTTATATTTTTTTCCTATTTCCAGAGTTGAATACATTTCAACCCCAAAATGGTGATCTTATCATAATCGACTACACTGACTGGAAAACAATTATAAACAAGATAGCCACTATAAAATAAATTATCTTTTTTCCATTCATCAAATAAATCATATCCCAGTGCGATTCGTCTTATTCTTTACCAATTCAAATTAAAAACAAAAAACATGAAAGAACTTGCAACGCTTCCGATTTAGATGGACTGCTTTTATTGTCCATATATTCTATGTGCGTTATGTGTACAGTCTGATAAATTGTATTATGTAAATCAATGTCTATGCAATTAAAAAGCCAATATTGGTAAAATCTTGAGGATATACTCCAATTTATATGCTAAATATATAATTTGAATTTCAGCCAATAATGTCTATTTTATTAGAAATATTTGCAAAAACGTATTTGGTCTTGTAAGCCTTTATTAGGTTACTCGAGAGATATTGATTATATTGTAAATAAATATATATATAATGTAGTTATTTCTATTTATTTTTTTAACTTCAAATATATAAAGTTTCTTATCGGTTGTAAGAAAGTTATAACGTCAAAAACCAAGATATTAAAATATTATTGAGTTTTGGGAACAGCGTTGAAAATGACGAAAATGGTGAACAGAAATTATAAAACATTAAAAAATCATAGACAAAATAAAAATAGGTTTTAATTAAAAATTTAAAAACTGGTTTTAAGAGTATTAAAAAAGACATTTAAGAAAAATAAGTAATAAGAAAGAAAAGTAGATTGATCAGTAAGAAGCTTGCGTTTCGAACAGAAACAAAGAGAAAAGATGCAGAATATTAAGAACATTGTTCAAAGACCGTACAGCAACCAAACTGCCAACCTTAAGTAGAAATCAACAAGAAAAACTGCAAGTTTGGCGAAGAAGCAGATGAAAACTGATTTCTCAACAGTAATTATTAGTAATGAAAACAGAACTATATTAAAGGAACCCTATGACTGAAATCGAAGATGGGTCGTCAATCAACATAACTTAGAAGACCACAGGAAATTGATGTTGATTTGTAGGCAGTAAGATTATAAGTTTTTTAAAAGTGAAAATAACACCAAGATAAATTCAGAAAATTATAATTTCTTGCACATTTTTGAGTGTCACAGTTTACAACTAAAAGCTTTAAGGTAAATAGTAAATTTGTTCCATCAAAGTCTGCACACGCTGACTACTTCCCACCTTGTCAAAAGGGATTCAAAGGCATTAATTTAAATTTTAATTTTAATTAATTTTAATGAAATTTAATTTTTAATTTTAATTAATTTTAATGAAATAGCTCCACAGCCTCTCCAATTATTAATCTACTAGAAAACTCTTATTCCATCATTAAATGAAATGTATATGAAAATAGAATATTAAAGTAAAAAATAAAATAATGGGAAGCAATATTGCTGCAAGTAATGTTAAAATCTAAACAGTAGAAAAGTTCATTATTTACATTATTCGGACTATTGTCCTCATCTTTGTCGTCATATTTATCACAACGTTTCGGCCGTTGTACGCTCAGGCCTTCTTCCTACTTATTTCATTCACTGCGGCAGACTGTTCTACTTCCATGTGTCAAGGACTCATGGCACAGTAGATAAAGGCATTAGTTAGATCCATTGACAGGACCCAAAGAGTGTGAGTTCAATACCCGGTTAAGGCAGTAGAGAACTTTCAGAGGGAAATTAACAGAAGATAACTGATAACTGGCATCCATGGCACGTGGAACTAGAACAGTCTACCTCAGTGAGCGAAATAAAGGGTTCAGTTCGACATTCCAACCACCTGAAGAAGGCCGGAGCGTACAACGGCCGAAACGTTGTGATAAATATGTCGAAAAAGATGAGGACAATAGTCCGAATAATGTAAATAATGTACATAATACCTCATTTCAGAAATATAGACAGACTCAGTAGAAAAGTTAACAAAATCAATGGTTGAAGACTGTTGATGGTTATATAAGGTCAAAGAGTTGATATTAACATTGAAAATAACAATGTATTCAGGTAAATGTGGTAAATGTTAATCAGCTATATTTTTGTGGTTTCTATATTTTAGCTCTCTCTATATATATTATCAATTTATAATTCATATCGAGATTTTTTAGATGTGTAATTATTATTTGAACCAGCATCCGCATTTTGTTTGCTATACTCATAACTTGCATGTGTATATTTGACACATATGCACACGCGCACATGCCCAGAAATACAAAAACGCACTTCCACACACACACAAAGATGGAAAAATCAACTAAAAAAATAACTAGCGCATAAATTAATTACATCCCACTTAGTGTAAAGATAACGAAAAATGAGAAAACGGCTGACAATTGTTGAAACCTCCTGATGAGTAGACTGAACGATTGCAAAAAGGTTCGTAAATGAAACTCTAGAGTCGAGGTCTTGATTAGCACATCAATCAGTTATATATATATATTTTATATAAATTTTTATATAAATTTTCATATATATTTTTATATATCAAGAACAGTTTGGGAAATTTGTATGACAAATAGGAACAAATTTTTTGTGACGAGTTTAGTCCGTTATGACTTAACCGGACTGGGAGTTTCAAAATCTTTTAAAGAATTTTTTTTTTCAATCTCGTCAAATTCATCATCGTTGTTATTAAATATCTTACAACGTTTCACCATTCTTGGTAGATTTTCTTTTATGCCAATGTGGGATATTTAATAGAAGATGGAAAGAAAAAGAAAAAATAATATAGATGAATTTGGCTAGATTGAAGAAAATAGTTCAAAGATTTTGAAACTCCCAGCGTCTCTCGTTCGTGCGCATGTGACTACTCACAAGAACCTAACAAGTCCAGTCCGATGAACTCCTAACGGATGAAACGCGTGATAAAAACTGTTCCAATTTTTCACACACACACACACACACACACACACACACACACACACACACACACACATATATATATATATGATTCTATGATTTTTCAAAATTTAAACTGAGATGTTGAGACGTTTGGCTAGGTATCAGACTCTAAATAAATATTCTTAAGGACTACAATTTTCAACTTCTTTTTCCTATATATTTATCTGTGTGGGTTATATATATCTATATAAACTTATTTTCTCATATATATATATATATATATATATATATATATATATATATATATATATTTCCATAATTATAATTCCATAATTCAATAATTCCACCCATTTACGCACGCTATATCGGCGACATATTCATATTGACAAAAAGCTTGTAAGAATAAAAAACTGAAAGAAAACTTTGAGAATAACTATCCTACACTTACGAACTTAATATTAGCAATAAAATTCCTTTCCTTGATGTATTAGTCGACGTCAATAGCCCTAATATTTCTACCACACTATACAAAAAAACTACTAGCAGAAACTCACGTTTACTCAACTACAAAAGTAAATGCCCTCACGCGGAAGGAATCTTACGATACGAACGTTATTCTCATCAAGGTTTTTGTTGGATTCTTTCGGCATCAGATCAAGAGGAAGATCAGAACTGACAGAAAGCGTTTATTGGCAGATTTCAACGAAAGATGGGAAGAAGATGGGAATATATATATATATATATATATATATATATATATATATATAAATATATTAAACGGGTTTTCGCCAATCGGTGTTGATTTCAGTGCTGGCTTTTATATTTACATACGCTCTATCCCAGATATTGAACAAATTTACCCATAAATATAGCATGCCATAAAACTATATCTTTTATCATATATATATATATATATATATATATATATATATATATATATATAGTGAATATTGAAGTCAACACTCAGAGGCGACATGCTGTTTCATGCTAGACGCAATCGTCTGGGCAATAATACCTCCTCAAGTCACTTGATATAGACCTCCGTGTTGAGTCTGAGAACCTCACCAACAAATTCGGGAGTTTTTTTCTTAGCAGAACTATCAGAAGGATTTTTCCGAGCTGCCGTACCTTCGTTATCCCCATTAGACTCATCCAACTCTTTCCTAATCCTCTGCAGTGTTCTTAGATTGACTCCCAAACACTGAATTTTTCATATTGGAACTTTCGGCGTGAATGCCAAGCAATACAGCATGCCGTTTCCAGAGTGAATTTCGCCATGGTGCTCTTTTTCTCACAGACGGTAACCAACTGACCCAACTATATTTTTCTGTCGACAAAATCAAAAACAAATAACGCGCATGCGCGAAATTAAAAATATAAAATGGTGACAATTTACCCATCGTACCCTGTGTGTATATATATATAGATAGATAGATAGATAGATAGATAGATAACTTTAAAAATCAGTAGGTTAGTTGAATCGGCTACCTTGGTTTCAACCTTAGGGTATCCTCAGGCGATTTTTATCAAATGACCTCTTAACGCTAATGAACACTATATATAAATATTTTTAAAGAATAAATAAACAAATGCACGACGTTGGGTGTAATAAAAAGGAGGAGGAGTGTGTGAAGAAGAAGAAGGGGAAGAGAAGAAAAGCAAGAGTATTATATATCAGTGAGGGTAGTTAATTGAAATGTAAGTATTTTTTTATCCAGTATGTTTATGCAACTACACAAGACTTCGGATTTATGGTTTAAAAGGTTCTTTGGATTCATAAATGTCATAATTGCTAAATTTCCTGATAGCAGATGTTGCGACTATTGTTGTGGTTGTTATAAGGTTTTGCATTTAAAAAAAAAATTCCAGCTTGCAATCAGATCCCTGTTGTTTTTTTCTTTTAAATTCCACACATGGTCAGCTAGTTTGATACCACTGTTTCCTGCTCTGACCATTAACCTTTTATTTATTTGTTATATAGGAATAAAGTGTCGCTGCCGACACTCGAGTTTGAATATAGATCGCCTGTGAGTAAACAGAGGAGATCCCATTGTTGAATTGAGTAGACCACGTAACCATAGAGGAAACGCATATATCGGAAGTCGCGTGACGTCTAGATTGATCAGTTCTAGTCTATCCTTTATTACTATACGGACCGCCATTTTCTACTCTATTCACTATACTATTTCTCTCTTCGGATCACTATACGGATTACTGTTCGAGCGAGTATTATCGAGCAAGTACTATTAGTGTGAGATTATTCGAAGGCGTCTGACACCGACATTACTCAACGGCGATTACAAAGTCTCTATTACAACAAGCATTACGAAACAACGAATATTCGTTGACATTACAAAAGTGTCAAACAAATGTTCGTTGACATCATAAAAGTATTATATATATATATATATATATATATATATATATATATATATATATATATATATATATCAATGTAATGAGAATGAAAGTAATATATAAATTCTAACGTTCACAGCAATTATTTAAAAGAGGGCTCAATACAGATAGTAGAGCGATAATTATTTATTATAATTTTTCATATAGACAAAAACAATTTACTCACTACAAAGATGCAACTTCGTTTCGGTGAATTTAATTGCACTTCGACTGGTGAGAACCAAAATGGTTATGACCAATTCTGTTTGTAAGCAAGCCGCATGTGAAACGTTACTTCCTTTTTTCCATTTGTTTGACAAAAAATAGTACATAAGACAGAGTGAAACAATAGTGCTTGTTGATAGCAGTTTGGTGAAAGATGGTTGAGGTGTTAAAGCGATGTCTAGACCCGAAAAATTTCTTTTCGACAACAACGGTCAAGTGTTTAGGCACAGCATTTCCAAGCCTTCTAAGAGTGAAATTAAATGCACCGAAACGAAGTTGCATCTTTTAGTGAGTAGATTATTTTGTCTACATGAAAATATTATTATATATATATATATATATATATATATATATATATATATATATATATATATTAACAGTTTTGATTTTTTTATCTAGTAGGTCTACTTTGGTAGAATATAAGATGTTGAGACAAGGGCATAGTTTTAGTGCTCTATCATAGGCGCCACTTCTCATAGATATGTCTCTGGCTGTTGTGTGCTGAGTGGTTAGGATCGGGTTCAAATCTCACCATCGCCGATTTGTCAAAAAGGTGACTTCTTGATGTTATCAGTCTGGGAAAGTGATCCCAGCGTGCAGCACTTATGGAAAGTGCCTGAAAACCGTAGCGGGAGTTGACTCAAGACTTGAGTGTGAATTAGGTAGACGGAAAGGTGGTGCTAGCAAGAAGTCACATGTCATCGTAGTCAGGGATTTGAGCGTAATGACCCTTGTTGAAACCATTGATCATGCCAGATGATGCACTTTCTCCCAGAAGTTGTAACTAATTTCCGTTCGGCATAGTTGCAGTATAAACCACCGTGTGCTCTGTGGATGTTACACAAACACAAAGGTACTTGAGCAGGCGTCTGAAATGGGGATTTGCAATCATACTCGGATAGGTACCGTCAGCCATTATTATCAGCCGTCTGTGATGTTTATTACTGGAAACTAAATAACTAAATCTCTTCAAATTTCCAGCACGTTTTTCAATATTATCACGGCGTTGCTGACGTCTGTATTGTCTCAAATTTTCCCTGAAGCCCTAGGAATCTTTTGGGGTCCATTCCTTGGAGCCTTTCTGAATATCTTTGGGGCTGCTCACTATTCCAGATCAAAACTAATAAGTTCGATGCTAACTAAATTTCCTGCAGTTGAGTAAATATCTTCAAAACCACCCACACTCACCCACCCATCCATCCACACACACACACACAAACACACACACACACACACACACACATGCACACATGCACAAACAGACAAGTAAAACCAGTTTGACAAGTGAATAATGTTATTTTAAGTGATGTGAAAAGTATTATTTTATGATGGAGATCAACAAAATTTAACCGTATTTCCTTCGTCTTGCATTTGGCATAAACTGCGAGCAGAAAGATTACTTGACGGAAGCATAATTATGACATAGTTACTTTTCACTTACGTACTAATACCCTTGGGAAAGGTATGAATCCTCTTTTCTTCCTCCAGTTATATGTAAATAGCACGACAGACCGGATTCTATAGCCTTGGATGGCAACTGGTCTACCGCAGAAAGAAATGGCAACCTACTGCGGGAAAAAATCTGCCTCGTCAGTCATGTGTTGAAAGATACATGATCGCCTAAGCTTGTATCACGCATGACACAAAACTGACTGACTTACTTAATCAGTACCTCTGCAATCACGTTAAACTACAGTACCAGTGACAGTGAAAGTGACTTAGCATGGCCTGATTAAATTTATTGTTCCTACCCAACCGCTTGATTTTCAGTTTTTAAAGCAATATTAATTTAGAGTAAATGTTAACTTAATTGTTAGAGTGATCCAAATCAAAAGAATTTCTATTGATTAAACGTATTCTACCATAGCGAAGTTCTGAGGAATTAACTCAAAATTTGTCTTTTAATTTCACGGTGAATGTTTAGATTCTGTTAATATTTCGATATTTAATTTAAAAAATAAATAAAATCGTATTTCATTCAATAAATCGAATTTGAATATCTGGACTGTTTTGCACGAAAGTACAAGTATAAATGTGAGTAGAATTGTAATGCATAATGTGATTCGGATTTTAGTAAATAATTCAGTAATACTAACCGCTGTACAACCAGCGTTGGTCTATGACAATAAAGAAATGAACAACTTTTATCGTCGTATTATCATTATTATTATTGTTATTATTATTTAATCATTTCACCCCAAGCAAGGCAATAAAGCCAAGACAATAGACGCAGGGCTTTACTGAGTCTTAGAGAATATGAGGAAAAACAAACACTATTAAGGAGAGTGAACAATAAAAGAACGGGAATTGAGAAAACAGAAGATAACGATTGACATTGCATTTAAATTTTTGAAGTTCAAAGTTGACTGGGAAGTAATAAGCCGGAAGAGAATTCCACAAGCAAGAAGTGCGATAGAAGAAACCATCAGCGTAGAAGTTGCGGTTACATCTAACTATTACAACTATAAATAGTATTGTTATTATTGTTATTGAATGAGAGATCGACCCACCAACAAAATGATGCTAGGGTACTACATTAAAGCCCAATATACATCACAGCCGGTCCGATAAATACATGTGATATTGTGCTATTGTGATATGGTGACAGGTTTTGTAGCACATAAATTTGCAAGTGAAACCCAGTTAGAAAAAAGCTTCAAGACGGGTAACCCAGCCTGTTCAGAGGGTCTTCGATTGAGGGTGTCTACATGTATCTAAATGTTAACCCCAAGTCACATTGGCTACCTCATTCTTCAAATTTATAAAAAAGCAACCGTCTCCCCACCCAATCATGATGTCACTACTCCCGCTTATGAACAGTGGTGCACAGCGCCTCATCCTCCAGGGGACGTTTCTAACTGGTTACAGACAAGCAACTGACATGCATTATTATTATTATTATTATTATTATTATTATTATTATTTTCTTTGATTTCTGGCATTTACACATTTCTTTCCGGGTCCCGCCTAGGGACCTAAGGTTAGAAATGGCATCATGACACTTTCCATTGACAAAAAAAAAAAAAAAAAAATATTACATAGATAAAGCCCTTCGTAAAGTGTGGGCTGTACTTGTGAGAACAATTTTTTGTATCTCCTTGAGGCATGGACTTCCAGGAATCCCTTCAATTAGCCTGCTGCAATCTTTTCCAACCAGTCCTAGGGGCTCCAACTACAACAGGGATTGTTGATGTTCCCATATACCACATTTTCGAAATTTCTATTTCAAGGTCCTTGTATTTTGACAGCTTTTTGAATAACTTCAAAAATACCTTGCAGTCAGCAGGGACTGCCATATCAATAAGGAGGCACTTTTATTATTATTATTATTGGCTTACGGCCATATCCCGTTGAAACACTGGTTCTCGTCGAATCACCGAATTTAAGCAACATTGAACCTGATCAGTACCTAGATGTATGTTTGCTGGGGAATACCAGCTGCTGTAAGCTTGGGTATACGGGTGGTGTAATGGATATCGGCTCGGAGTGAGAAATCGGACAGCCGCGTTAGAATTCCACTCGAGTTCGTAATATTCACTTACGTGCAAATACTCTTTGGAAAATTATGAATCCGCCTCTTCTTCTCCCAGCTATGGGTAAAATAGTAAGATTTGTATCCGAAAATCATTATTATCTCCAAAAAGGTTGATAAGCCATAAAAAATATAAATCAACCAATTATTATTAGTGCTGTTGTTTATATTTCTTCATCGAACGTTTCTTGTTCCTTTGAAGATCAAATAACATAAATGTCCAGAGTTTTTTTCTCAATATTTTTATCGATCTCCACATTTGTGGTCCCTATTGTCATAATTGTTCCTGCAATCTCTAATTATTTCAATCTTTTTTTGAAAACATTCTTAATTTCTCATTAATTAGCGCTATGATCGTTATCTTTATTTCCCATCTTCCAAGCAAGGTTACGATATTTATCAACTTATTCACTGTGTCAATTTCATCTGGCGATATGATCAATTTTCTTTTATTTAATGTCAATAGCAAACCACCATCTGCTGAACTGGATAGAGTGTTTTCTTTAAATTACAATATCCGAAATAACTGTACTTTTTTTTTAATATTATGAACAGTTTTTACTTTGTTCTCATATCATTGTAAGGTTAACCCAGTTAGTTTTCTTAATTCTAAGAGAATCCCTTTTGCTCAGTCATGGATATTCTTTTGTAATCCTCTCATTATCACCATTTCATATCTTTTCTCATATCGAACAGATGTACTATATCTTTGGCCTTATTAATGTTTACCTTGCCGCAATTAGTTATACATATTACCAATGATTTAGTTTATTGTATTAGTCATTTTCTGTGTACCCATTGCCAGGTCATTTCATCGCTTTTTTGCATTTCTGAACTTTCTGTAGAATTGGTTTTCTTATTTTTGCCTCCTATTTTTACTTAAGATTTTATATTATTCTTTCACGTCATTTTAAAACTAGTTTGAAAAATATCGACTTCCGCTCATTGACCCCGCGTAGCTATTTTCAGGCTTATGCCGTATCACGTCGAAAAACCGGTTCCCGTACGATCACCGAAATTAAGCAATGTCGAGCCTGGTTAGTACCTAAATGGGTAACCGCTTGGGAATACCATGTGTTGTAAGCTTGGATCCAATTCCAGTTCAGTTCGTTATATTCAATTACGCGCAAATATCCTTGCGAAAGATATGAATCCACCTCTTCTACCCAGTTAATCAGTTAAACTTGTATCACTAAATCATTATTATCCCCTTAAAAAGAAACTCTTACAATCTAAAAATATTTTCCGGCTTTAAATAACATGCAAAGAGTTAATAAGACATAAAAAACAAATCAGCTATTCATTAAATGGGTTAATTAGTAAGACTTGTGTCACTAAACCATTATCATCTCAAAAAAATTTTTTTACAATCTAAAAATATTATCTGGCTTTAAATAATCTGCAAAGGGGTTGATAACCCACAGAAAGCGAATCAATAAAATAAAATAAATAAATAAAAGCTATTTTCATTTTCTTCGTATGACAAGATTGTTCACGTTCATTTATAATTCATTCCAAGTAGATTTCTTTTGGGTTTAAGCTTTGTAAAGAGCGTCTCAATATAAAATCGAAATTTGTTTTTACAAGTAACATCGAATCAACTTACTGTCAATAATTTTTCATCGATTTCGCAACACAGATGCCTTCATGAAATCCTACCGAGTTTTAAACAACTGAAGAAAGTTTCTGAACATTGTTTGTCTTTTAATTTCTCCAAAATGACATTGCTCACTTTCGCTAATGATTGCAAGATTCCACCGAGAATAGTATAATCGCTACTTGGAATGGTTTGTAACACATTATTTATCATTTCTCAGGGTCAACTCCGTCAAAGGAAAGAGTCACAACTGAGGGAAATTATACTGAGAGGTGCCCAGTTCTGGGGAACAGCTGCCCGAGGTAGTGCCCTCTCCTTGCAGCAGAGAGAGGGATCGATGCACGCGCCGAGGCCAGCGCAACGGACGGTTGCGGCGGTGGCGGGCAATTTTTGTTCCTGGCCCGGGTGCACGCGCTCGGGTTCCCACCTTAAAAAGACCTTGTGTCACAACTCGTCTTAGTGGGGAGACAGAGTAAATAACTAGTATTCACGAACCTTTCTTGGCGAAACATTAAGTTGGTTTTATTATAAGACAACTTTTAATCTTAGCCAGATCGAGCTTTAAACTGCATGTTTTTTTCTCTTAGATACGCAAGGTTTATGTTAATAGGCATGACACGTGAAATTTTCATATAGTGTATTCTGTAAATTTGGGAATATTTCACTAATCCATATATTTGATTAAGACAGAAAAAGATATTTTATTTATAGTCGGAAACATTGGCTAAGCCATAAGAAAGAATCTAGTTATATAGAAAAATTTGAATGACTTTTGTTTGGTAGTTTTCGTAGACTAATTACTGGAGCGTTCTTCTATTATGAGATATGCTATTATAAGGATAAAAGAAACAAATTCAAATCTCCGCTGTAAGTTTTTTTTTTCAATTCATGATGCTCGCTAAATAGACAAAGAACCTGAGCAACGCGATAAAAAGCAACAAAAGAAAAACTCAACAAAATGAATAAAAAAATTTCATCCCGTTATGAATTTATAAATGCTGCAGTAAAAGAAAAAAAATCGAAATGTTCACCGACATCATAAAAGAGAAAAAGTATTCCTTTTCGCCCGTCTTTCTGCTCTTCTTTGGCCGACTGTACAAGGTCGACCCAAAAAACCTATAGCCATTTTGAATATCTCGAAAATCAATTGCATGGTTATAATCTAACTTATCAACCAGACAGAATGGAGCTTACTGCGCATGCTTCAACAAACACGCTCCTGTGGAGTTAGTGAGCTTGTTTACTGTGTGACAGTTGTATTCATAACCAATATGCATAAAGTTGAAACTTGAAAGGCATTCATCTGCAAAAATTATTCGAAAGCTTTCAAAGATGATCCCATGAACCATGTCCAGATAAGGTTTTTGGTACCGTCATTTTAGATTTGGCCGTGAATCTGGTGAAATCGATCCAGGTTCTCGAACGCCTTTAACAAACAGAACATTCTATATTGTTGTATGTTTACTAACTGTAATCGAAGGATAATTAGAATTTGGGATTGCATTTTACAGAATATATCCAATCACATAGAATATATTGATTGCCCATTCTTTACGTCTCTTTTTTTTAAAAAGAAAATGCCATCACCAAGACCTTTCAACTCACCTACAGTTCAGGCTGTAGCAATATACAATGATGCTCATTAAAGGAGCTGAGAGTGAGAAAATGACACTTTTATTTGTTCAAAGAACCTGATAGATGTCGTTCTTATCTCCAATCAGCCTTGACCAACATATTTTTGAAAGGGACGAGTGTGGGCTAGGAGCTGTGATTTATGTCTTCTAATAAATCTGACAGAAGGACAGTGTTCAGATTTCATAAAAGAGACATTTAGAGCCCAGGCGAGGGCTACAAAGAAGGTTCTCTATGCGACATTCTTCGCTTTCATTATTTCTAAAATCTAGTAGTAGCCATCTTGTCTCGCTGTTGAAGAACATGAATAAACCAGATTTTTAAACTGTTGTTGTCCGTGATTTTTCTACAACGGGGACATTTTCATTGATCATGCCACAGTGATCACCCAACTAGATGCTGGTTCAACGCGCAGGGCTATATGACTTCTCGTTTTATCCAAGGCAAAAATAGTAATTCAAAAGGAGGAAACTTAAGACCGTGGACGCGATTAGGGAGAACGAAGCGAAGCAGCTGATTGCGACGACAAAAGTGGAATTTTCAGACAGTTTTACAAACTGGAAGGGACGCAATTATGAACATGTGACATCTCAAAGAGAATATCTGAAAACGGTTTGACATGACGACAAAACGTTTGCATCTAACCCGCATACAAATGAATCTCGGTTCCGGCGTTTAAAAAGCAATTTGTCTGCGTGAACGAACAAATAAATATCTCCTTTTGTCGTGGCAGGCATATTTCAATGTTCTAAAGAGTTTTAATAAATCATCAACGAACAGCAGAGGCAGTTCTTTTAACTCTTAATAAATTCGGAGGTAGAAGAGAACGACATCGAAAACTGTTACGAGCCGTGTATAAAGCTAATATTTTCACTCACAAAAATTGTAAAGAACATAATTTGACTTTCAGTTCGAGTGACACTGAATGAATTTGATATATTGATTTACTGAAATTGAATGAAATTCATGTTAATGGAACCATTGCTGGATCTGTAGACAATCAGTTATTTGTGTTCAGTGAATGTAGGAATAGTGAAATTCTAAAGTATATAGCAGGTATGTATAAACAAAATTTTTTTTTAATAAAATGAACAGATTTATATAAATTCTGTTTGTTAAAAATGCTTATATCTAGTGTAATAGGTGTTAAATTTAGTGACTGAAATGCCTATGCAAATGTATCAGCTCTTTTGAGCCAGAGGTAGTAATTTCTTATGAAGTTCTTGATTCAAGAGATTAATTTCTTTCTGTTGAATCAGTTTTCTGTTCCCAGACGTTTTTTGGATTTCCCGATAAATATTTTGTATCCGCATTCGCATTTTCTTTTACAGTTTATTAGCAGGTCTTCTTTTTTTCTTTCTTTTTTTCATTATAGAAAATAAACACCTTCCTCTATCTTAGTGAAGTCATTTGAAAATCCTTTCTTTTTACGAGTGAGAGTATTTTACTCAGTTTCGTGTTTTGGGGTGAGAGCATTTACTCAGTTTCGTGTTGAATGTAAAATAAACAGTTTTGAGGTTCCTTTGCAGACTAGTGCAAAATATATAGAAATTTCTTGGGATAACTTTATTTCTGTTCCTTATGAACAGGTAGAAATTAATATTAAAAAATTATACACTAGAATCGTGTATAATTTATAATAAATCCTTGAGTTGATCATTAAAGCATTTTAATGTTTCTTTTCTCTGCTGACAATAGACTTCTCCCGCGTTTATTTTGTAAAAGATAAAATAACGAAAGAAAATGAAAGAAAAACAAATAACAAAGTGAAAAAAATAAAACGAAAACAAATTATTACATATTTTATTAAAATAAGATCATTCAACACAAAAATGCTAACTAGGACTGCAAATTCTGAGTACTTTTTCATGTTTTATATTTTATTAGAAACAGCGTAGTTAATAACGAAGTAATCTCCGTTTGATGGCAAATATTTATTCAAATCTGTAATACAAAGATAAAACAAATTAGACAAATACAAATACAATTGTGAATGACATTTTAATTTTATGGTTTCTTGTATGAGTTTTACATTGATGTAAAATTAAGGTCAGAAAATATAAAGGTAGTCGAAATACACCAATTCGTTTGATGAGAAAGTTATCTGTTTAGTTTTAGATTATTTAAGGAGGGGGGCCCTCATTAATTTAACTGATCAATACTGCTATTTCAAAAGTAAAAAGTAAGAAACGGTGATGGAAAACATTATATATATATATATATATATATATATATATATATATATATATATATATATATATAGTGATTCCCGAACAAAGCGTTCGGGAATCACTATTAAACTTCACTGCCTGAAGAACCCTTACTAGTGGAAACCATGGTAGCATGAGTAGTTAGTAGTCCTTGACTTTGATATTCAATGGCTCTGCACATTCGTTTTTTTCTTTTTTACATTATGTATTGAGCACTTTTTAATATAACCGTTTTCTGGACAAATCTAACTTTGATCTGAAAATTTATATATATATATATATATATATATAGCACATTTCTCTCATCCTTTAACATCAATACCCGGAAGCTTATTCGTGAGTATGAACGGATTTTGTTAAAAATTAGCAGACATAATGTCTGTAATTTATTCAGTCATATATATATATATGAAATGTTTTTTTCCTCATCGGTAGCAGAATTGAGTTTCATACACGATTTTGTCATGCATGAAACTCAGATTTGTGCTACCGGGAAGCGAATAATATATATTTAAAAAACATGTACACATATACATATCTACTCGTACCTATTTGTGCATACATATATACACATATGCATATACACATTATATAATTTTTTTTAATGTATTGTTGTAAACATATATACATACATATGCGTAAATGTATGTAAAAATATGCAAAAAAGTCTTCAACATATTATATGCATGTGTGGATGTGTATGTATATGCAAGTATATCTATATATCTATCTATCTATCTATATATATATATATATATATATATATATATATATATATATATATATATATATATATATATATATATATTATAAAACACTCTAGTTACGGTGGGCTGATTTAAAATCTAACAGCACCATCGCCTCTGATGTAGATAAAACAAACAGGTAAATAGACAGTCTCTTGAGTCTGTACAGTGGATGTATTAAGGTAATTGTTGTGGCCTTGTTAGGGCCAGAAATCAAGACATAAGAGAGGAACTGAGTTGAAAACATATATTAACAGAAACAGTAATACAAACATATACAAACGACAGTGTTACAGTAAGAATGTTCGATCTGACTATCAGAGCTGACTGCTGGAAACTTCCCTCTCCAAAAGGCAGTACCTGCTCCTATTTATAGCTGGGAGAGTCCATGCGTGCGTGGGTAAATTACCATAACATTAATCTAATTTAATTTGATTTATAATCTAGGCATTTTTCCTCACATACAGTTTTCTTTCATTCATTCTAACTAGAGGATGCCAAAGAGAACACTTTGGCTCATTGTCATCACTTTTGTTTTGGATACTATGTATATATATATATATATATATATATATATATGTGTGTGTGTGTGTGTGTGTGTGTGTGTGTGTGTGTATATTAAAAAGGAGAGAGAAACCGCAATCTTTCTTGGATGTTATGTGGATTTTCAAAAAAAATATGTTTTATTTTCCATAATTTTGCTACACGTGTTTCCGGAATCGCGACCTTCATCAGGCAAAGAGTGGATATTTCCACATATTAAAAGGAATTAATTTTTCTTATGTTTTTCCATGTTAAATATTCTCGATATTAGACATTCTCTTTTTTGTGTATTAGTGACCCAAATGTGTGTGTGTGTTTGTGTGTGTATGTGTGTGTACATATGTGCATATTAATTCCCTATAATAAGACATTATGTATGTATTGAGAGGGAATATACGTATGCGTACGCATGCTGACAAAAAAAATGGAAATAAATCTAAGAACACTCATTAAAAGATAAGAATATAGATATCTTTCTCATCCTTTCTCGGGCCAGTCTTAATTGTTTTATTACCCTTAACGCAGAACTTTTTCACTACCAGTTCAAGGAAAAAAAATTCGCTTGAGGATGAAATGGAACTAATGTTTTTAATTTGATTACAAAATTAAGTTCGAAGCTTTTAACTTCTATTTTTGAAACATGGTTAGAACAGTTTTGCGAAAAAAAATATTTTAAATCAGTTAATTTATAATATTAATGCTCTGTAAATTTACATTGAGCACTATTTTGTAAAAATGAAAATATCTATAAGAACACCGGATTTCTTACTGTTCTTTCATTATATATATATATGTTGTGTGTTAGTAAATACAAAAATTGCCCACTCCATCGGCATATCGTACAAACTGAACTTACTCGTTCAGTGAAATAAGGAGGTACTTCCTGGGAGATGGATTCTTAGGAACAAGACGCGTGTGAAATTGCTTGATCTAACACATATATAAGACAAGGTCGGTTGTAAGAGACTGGGACTGAGAACTACTAACCAATAATTGATCAAAATGAGTGGAGCTTTTCGATCATCGAGGAATAAAAATAAAAACACACTTACCAACATATTTCTTCGTACGATTTAGATAGATTACCCATTCATTATCTCGTGTATTTGCGATCCCGTCAACTGAATTTAAGATTTCATTGCCAGGATGTTTCGAATTAGGAGTATTGTCCTTTGTAGTAATTCTATAAAAGCGAAATACAACAAAGTAATGAACGAAATAAAGAAATTATAAATGATTTTTTTGATACACATCAATCAATATACTATAATATCATATAAGCAAGGCGGAAAGCCACGAGCACGCAAGGGGTTACAGAGTTGGAGCGAGAACAAAGAGGAGTGATAGAGAAAAGGATGAAGAGAAGGTTAGGGGATAGATCAGGGCATCTGAAGACGTCTATTGACGTTACATTTGAATAGTTGGAGATTATAGCTATCAGGAAAACAAGAACTGGGGAGAGAGTTCCACAGGTGAGAAGTGCGAGACATGAAGCTATTGGAGTAGAAGAGACGGCTACATTTAACAGTTTCGACAGTGAAAGGGTGAGAGTGAGATGCCAGCCTAGTTGAATGCTTAAATTCATGAAGTCTGGAAACCAGCGAAAGCAGCTCATCGGAGCAGTTACCGTGAAAGTATTTGTAAAAAAGACAGAGGGAGGCAACGGCATGTCAGTGAGAGAGCGACTGCAGACGAGATACCAGATCAGGGTCAATTACATTGCATATCCATCTCTGGATTTTATCAAGGACCTTGAGACAATTAGAAGGGGCTCCAAACCATATATGGCAGCAATACTCCATGCAAGGGCGAATGGTTGATTTGTAGATTTGAAGGATCGACTCCAGCGAGAAAATTTTCCTGGCGTGGCACAGGGAGCCAACTTTTTTAGCGGTGGACTAAGCTATTGACTCAATGTATTCGGTCCATCTCAGGTCAGCGGACAATGTGAGACCGAGCAGTCACAAAGAGGTGCTCTCGTAGAGTTGAGCGTCAAACATTCTAATGGGAGGCAGGGATGGTTCTTTCTGGTAAGTAATAGAGAGCAGTTTTGTTTTTGAGGCATAAAAGTTAACCAGCCATTTCCCGCCGCAGTCCACAACCGATTGGAGGTCCTTTTCAAGACAAACGGCCAGGTTAGTTTTGTTGGCGACACTAGATTTGTTTCTGAGGCAGGAGTAAATAGTAGTGTCATCCGGATAGATGCCTACTTGGGAACATATGACATCAGGAAGATCGTTAATGAAGATAAAGAACAGAGTAGGGCCTAGAATAGAGCCTTGGGAAACACCTGCGTTCGTGGAATAGGGACTGGAGGAGAATACGTTGAGAATGGTCTTCAGTGTAGGTTCGACAGTAATGATTGTATTAAGTCGAACAATCGAACTGTAATTCCATAACCCCAAAGCTTGCGAAGAAGGCCGGCATGCCAAACCCTAGCAAACGAGTTGGAGATATCAAGAGCCACAGCACGAGCTTCTCCATTACTATGAAGTGCTTGGTAAACAATTTTAGTTATGGCCGTAAGCACATCAGCTGTTGAACAGGCAAACCATATTGCTTGTCGGAGAGCAGATTATGGGATGTAAGGTGCATAACCACTTCGGCGTATCAATCAATATAATATCAATCATACTATAATAAACTATTATTGTGCAACGTTAGAATAAGTAGTAAATATAATAAAAAGGCATTCTTAATATGACCGTTCTTTTCGCGTGTACAAGTATTTCTTGGTCTTTGTACTAAATTATATATATTATATCGGGGCTTATTATATATCAGGTCTGTAAAAGGAAAAAGTACTTAGGAAGTTAAATGAATGCATAAATGACTCATTGTGCAGAAAAGATGAAATAATAAATTGGTCATATTTTAGATTGTGAGGATGTTTTTTGGGGAGTGTAATAAGGCTTTAGTGATAAAAGTATTACTAGTTAACCCATAGCTGAGGGGAAGAAGAGGTGGAATCATAGTTTTCCAAATTGTATTTGCGCAAAATTGAATATAACGAACGCAACTGGCATTGGAATTCGGCTCTCAGATTAACAATTCCGAGCCATCATGCATTGGACCACACGCACATCCAAGTTATCACCCATCTAGGTACTAACCAAGCTTGACGTTGTTTAACTTCGGTGATCGTAGTGGAAGCGGTGTTTCAATACTATATGGCCGTAATCCCGCAAAAAAGTCATGCTTTGCTTAGAACGGATATACCTTCCATTTTTTTTTTATACATAATCCCAAAATATTGTTGGATAAAATAATATATTATATGTTGCTCGCCTGAAGTAGGTAGCTACCAAAAGCATTAGAATTTGTAACAATGGTTATGAACTTTTGCAAAAGTAAACACACTTCGTGGTCCTCTGTCAGGTTTTCATCGATGTTTCGATTCTTGATCGCGTCTCTGTGTACAAAAACGGGGGAAGGCTCGGTGTATGTTTACAAGGAGACAAAAGGTGAAATCACGCCACAACGCAAAAAAAAAAAAAACAAAAAAAAACAAAAAACATGAATCCTGTTTTCAATATATTCGATTATTTATTCAGGGATTCGCTTGGCTAGGAAGTAGGTAGGTGATATTTGGGAAAGATTCACTGTAAATTCTGTCTTCTCTCACGACAGACTAACGGACCAGATCTTCCCTTTAACCAGCGAGAAGCCCGACTCCATACCTCTTTCGTTTTAACCGTCTCTTTTTTTCCCGTCACTGACTGTTAACTCTCACATACAACTCCACTACTCATCTCTATTTCAAAACGTTCAGCTTTGTGACTGCTTCTTTACGTCTTCACTGACGGCCTGCCACCTAACGGGTAGTTCGAAAACTGAAATTCTAATTGCAGTGCCTTTCTTACTTCCGGCTAACTGCCACTTGATCCCGGAGGTTTTTATGTATTTACTTACTTCCATTTAAGATTTACTTTCAGATTTTACTGCATGCGCAACAATAAAACACAGCCGGGATAAAATCTTTTAAAGCCCACTTAATATCGTGTTTGTCCTTAGCGCAGCTGGATCCTATTACGTCACATAAAAAATTGACAAATATTGTAATAGTATAAATATTTTCTCTGAAGTTTTAATTTTGGTTTTAATTGCAATAAAATAGCATTTAGTCGCAAAAAGATTAAAACTACTTTTGCATATTTAAGAATATTTTCGACTGTTATTAATGTCATTTTTTTGTTATTCAATATATTACCTCCAGCTGCGTTATGATTGATGTTTGCTGACATAAAAATTTAAACTCTCCTGTTAAAATCTTAAAAAGATGTAGAAGTCGTTATAGAAATATAGCCTTTAACGACAATTAGTTAATTTAATCATTAGTCAACTGGATTTTTAACAAATGTTGCTGATTTTTCTTACTTAAAATACAGTGAAAAATACATTTGTCTATATCGAGTGTGAGTTACCAGTTGCCTCAAAGGTTAAGTGGATCAGCTTTCCTTAACCATATTCAATGAAAGCCTGTATAAATTTTCGGACGTCTTATTGGACAGTAGAAGTACGGAAGACCAAAAATGAGTAAAGTTGTTATTATTCACAATGGCAAAAGTATATTACCAACATTAAATCATCTTCATATAACGTGCAATACACTAATATATATATATATATATATATATATATATATATATATATATATATACACTAGTATATAAATATATATTGTAAGCAGGAGAGAACAAGATTGAATGATAATAATAGATGACAAAATATATAAGCTCTAATAATCTGCCATTCGTCCGTGCATTGAAAATTGCTGCCATGTCTGGTGCTCAGGATATATATCTCGAGATTCTTGACAAAACCCAAAGAAGGGCCTATAATGTAATCGATCCTAACCTGGAATCCCGATTTCAATCACTTTTCCACCGCTCTATCGTGGCTTCCCTCTGTCTTTTGTATAAATCTTTTTATAGCATTTATTTTCATGCGCTTTCCTATCATATAAGACCTCGTTCCTATTTAATATTACAGTATTTAAGGATTAATTTAGGTATAAGTATTGGTAGTCTCCAATGGTCGAGTAAACATTATCCTGACAGATATCTTAACTTTACATATAAGACCCGCCATATATTTTTAGATAGTGCAGGGGCTTATAAACCATCGTACATTATCTCTAATTCCAGGTTGGATATTTACATTTTACACATAAAACAAAATGAAAACGGAGATGACGATATTGCCAAAATATATGATTGAACTAAGAGGTATACTTACTTCAGACAGTTATAATAGTGTGAGGTCAATATAAGTAAATTTTTCACGTTTTGTCTTGGTTCGACTTTGTTAGCTTTGCAGTGACTAATATCACCCACGCGAACATCAAATGTAATGTTCACGTTTCCACAGATGTTATTTGTCTTACAACGATTTGCTGAAGAAGAAAACAAAAGCAAAAATGAGACTGATTGTAAATAGTATAAATAATTTTTATTTTATTTTTTTTCTTCTCTACTAAGGTTTTTAGGAACGATAAGTTGATTATCGTGGCTCAGTCAGTTATGTGCCATGCGTGATACACACTTAGGCGATCATGTATCTTTCGATACATGACTGACGAGGTAGATTTTTCCCGCAGTAGATTGACATTTCTTTCTGCGGTACACCAGGTGCCATCCAAGGCTATAGAACCCGGTCTGTCTTGCTATTTACCCATATCTGGGGGTTGGGAGAAGAAGAGGATTAATACCTTCCCCAAGGGTATTAGCACGTAAGTGAATGTAATGGATACGACTGGAATTTGAACTCGGCTCTCCGATTCCTCAATCCGAGCCGCAATTCATTACTCCCCCAAAACTAAAACTGTCTATTACGTACCGTATTTTATTAATATTTTTCACAATTCACCAACAGAAACAGATTTTTATAGATGCATTCATTCTGAATTCTCCAAGCCCTATTATGTGTCCCTTTTTGATTATAAGTGTAAGTGTTCTTTATTCTTCTATTCTTATTAAAACTTCCTCGTAGCATCCTTCTGTAGAATCACATCTGTTGCCACAAGTCTCTTCTTCATCTGCGAGGAAAATGTTAAGCATGCATTCACTCAATATAGCCGTTTAGCGCACTTCTTTATTTCTAACGAAATTTTTCCTTTTCTTAATACTTTGCTTAGCTTTTGGAAGGCATCTTTCGCTATTCCAATGCGCCTTCAGATTTTCCGCCGGCTTTTAAAACAGTTAAATTTATATTTGCATGATTTTGACATCTTCAATTCGAATCTCGAATCGTGAGTTGTTCCAATCGCTGTCAACCATGCATTCTGTTTTCTTACAATTGGTGGTTAGTCCTTTCTTCCTGCCTTTACTTACATTGTCTAAGAATTTCTGTAGTTTTCCTTCTGTGTTTGCCATCAACAAAATGTCATTTGCGTATCTTATGTTGATACGATTGTCTGTACCAATAATAAATCCTGGTATAACTTCTGATTACCTTAGGATTCCCTCCCTGTATAAGATAAATAAATCCGATGAAAGGATGCATCCTTGTCTTACATCCCTTTTATTTTTGTGTACTTAATACATTTTCTCTCTGTACTCAGCGGTTTACTCTAAGTATATATTTTGGGTTATTCTAATATCATTCCCAAGGTGTTCCTAGCAGTTCAAATAGGAAATCATCAAATATTTTTGTGTAGACTGACATAGGTAAACGTTCTTCTGCAGTTGAACTGCTATTTCTGATTTCATTCTGATAATAAATATTGCATTTCTTTTTACTCTTTCGTTAACGAAACCACACTGTTCTAATCATATTTCCGGTCTATGCAATGCGCCCTATCAATCAGCATCCGGAGCATAAATTTAGTAATGTGGTTCATTAAGCTGATTGTCGGATGGAGCTCGCATTCATTTATATCGAGCTCCTAAGGCAGCGATACGAAAATAGACCCCCTAAGGTCTTCCGATATGCCGCCACTGTCACACACACACACACACACACACACACACACACACACACACACACACACACACACACACACTATTGATTGAAATAATCCATTGTCAACTTTTAAAAAATAATAAGTGGTTGCCGAGGAAAATATTATTCTGACGCAAAATAAAGAAATAGTTGTATTTAATAAAAAAGTACTTACGTGGTAGTTGCTCTGGAAACTGGGGCAGTGGCTGCAGTGGCTGCAGTGGGTTTAGTGGTTGCAATGGCTGCAGCGGCTGTAGTGGCTGCAGCGGCTGTAGAGGATGCAGCGGCTGTCTCGGCGGTTGAAATTGATTATTTGAAGTCGAAGAACCAGGAATGCGAAAGTTAAATGGATCGATATTTCCTGGTATTAAGAATGGGTTTACTTGTTGTGGTAATTTCGCTGAAATGAGTTAAACAATTTTTTAATAATTGTCCTGCATGTTTGTACATAGGTTGCTATATCAAGTCAGTATCACAGGTGCAATAATTTTCTTTTTAATATACACTGGCGTGCAAGAATTTGAGGCAAAACATCAAAAAATTATTATACACTTTTATTTTTTAAGTAATTAAGATTATTTAGCACTGTGGTTTTATAAATTGTGTCTGTGAACATTGGATATTAGAAAATAAGTTGTTGCGTTTTCGTAAGTGCTGTATAACAACAGATACACCGCTTTGAGCAGGTTGAAGCTAAAAAAAAAGTCCATGCAAAACTATTGGGCCAAAGTTCAGAGATGACAAATGATTATAGTCAAATTTCTAAGTAGGAATTGTTGCAACTTATTAACATGAGTGTACAGTGCCCTGGCAAGTCATTGTAGTTGAACATTTTTTTTACATAAAATTATGGCAAAAATTTCTGCTGAAACAAAGATTAAAGTTGAAGTGGAAAATAACTTAACGAGAGAGAGAGAGAGAGAGAGAGAGAGAGAGACACACACACACACACACACACACACACACGGCTGGGAATTTCCATAAACAGTGTTCAAACTATTCAAAAGACGTTTGCTTCTAGTGGAAGTATTTAAACGCAAGGAAAACTAAAAGACCACAAAAGTTAAACAATGTATGAATCTCGGTAGGCAATCCAAAATTAACAGCCAGATATGTGAGAAGTGAATGAAGTTTTAACAATGAGATTTCAGTTGATATTGTTATGGGGTCCTCCCCTTTTTCATATAAGTGGACTCGACCAAAGTGTTACTTGGACCGCTGCTGTTAAATACCCAGAGTGAGACAGTCAGTCAGAGAGTTAGTAAGAAGACTGAGATTGTGTTGGAGGTAGAGTAATAGTGTCAGTTACAAGCACGTAGACTCTAAGGAAGTCCTACTTCGAGACTGTATACAGTGTAACCCGGATATAAGAGAAACCCGGATATAAGAGAGATTTTCTCTGGTCCCAAATTAGAGCCTGTGTTAATGTATATAAAACAGACCAAACCCGGATATAAGAGAAACCCGGATATAAGAGACTTCTCCGGTCCCGCCAACTCTCTTATATCCGGGTTACACTGTATATCTATTTGTTATTGCTACTAACCGCGTTCCTGTATTTACTAACAGTATTACCCTTTGTATTATTGTGTAAATACATTTTATTTCTTATATTTAATTCCTGCGTTTGTCATTGATTGGGGACCGAATTTCATCTTGGAATCCACAACAGATACATTACGTGGAGTATTGCGAAAAACAACTTTAATAGGTGTATATCAGCAAAAATAAATCATTATTAACCAAGGGAGAAAAAAAAAAACAATGCAAGATACAACAGAAAGGCGGTAAAATTTGGTGATTGACACATAGGGGGTTGTATGGGAAACCTAAACAAGGAAAACTATACAAGTTTACCAAGGTTTAATCTTCTGTCAGACTACGAAGATAAGGAAATTTTTTTGTTACACCCTACGTGTAACAAAAAGGTTTCTTGCGGGTGAAGAATTTCAAATTTTAGAGGACAAACCAGTATAAAGTTCTGATCTGAATATAATTGAACCACTGTAATGGGAACCAAAGAAACAAATGCTCCAATGAAAACCACGTAATCTATAAAGAGCTTCGAAATTACTTCCAAGAAGAATGGGTAAAAATTCCCAGGGCTAATATTTAGACCTTGTTTCATTCAATGCGATATGGAAATGAGCCAGTGGCTAATTACATATTTTGTCGTCTTGTACTTTCTATAATAATAATAATAATAACAATAATAATAATACACATGAAATATAACATTTTCTTTTAATTTGTTACCGATTTACAGACTGTATCATGTATTGCAATCTTTTGCAGTAACATTAATTACTAATTGCACACTTTGTCGTCTTGTACTTTCTGTAATAATAATAATAATAATACTACTACACATGAAATATAAAATTTTCTTTTAATTTGTTACCGATTTATAGACAGTATCATGTATTACAATCTTTTGCAGTAACATTAATTACTAACTATATACTTTGACGTCTTTCAGTAATAATAATAAAGATTCATTTTTGCAAAATAAATTCCTTTTTAAGTTAAAAAAAGAAAGCGTTGACAGGTGAAATTTTCGTAGGTGGCTCAGTATTTATATCCGGCCTTTTTTTCAGCATCACTATGCTTAATACATCACTATGCTTGATATATTCTATCGTCCACCATACATCATTAATAAAAATGCAGTAATTTGTTTTCTGAAACTCAAAGATCATAAAACTGACTAAGAAAAGCCCATTGCTAATCACTCTCGATTTATGTGTAAGATCAACAAATATAATAAATATATAAATGTGTACCAAAAGTGTTACACGCCATTTACAAACAGATATAATAATACTGTTTTTGTCGAATACTATCAGCATAACCAGTCTTTGACCGGGTATTTCATTACTGGGAATTTTTACCGTTCAATTAGAGCAGTTTAAGTTTAAAATCAGCCCACCTGAAGATCAATATTAGTAACAACAATTGGGTGCAAATGAGGTACATCCCCAAATGGGCGGTTTAACAGTTTGAATGGGGATGGCACTGAAAAGAGCCGTTTTTGCATTCTCAATCGTGCAAGGAAGGAACCTCTTTCATGGATCGTCATAATAATGATATACAATAATTTTTATTTATAATATAACTTTTTTTATAATTCTAATAATTTTTTGCGTTAGATTTCAACTCTCTAAATTGATTCTACCCTGTATTTTTTACAGGCATTAAATTTTGCATTTGATTTTTGCGCAAAGTGTAAGAAATTAGGTTTTTCGATTTTTCACCTTCAAGATTGTAATTTTTTTTTCCAGCCAATTTGGACTCAAAACCGGCACTGAAGATATTATATATATATATATTAAAAAAATCATCGAAATCGGATGAAAACTGTGGAAACGCATAAACAACATCCGATAACACACATAAATGCATACATACACACACATTTTGAATTATAGATATACATACTGTCTCCTCCATTATTGATTATCTGGGTAAACTGTTGACTATGTTCTTAAAGTTTGAAGAAATATTCAAAATATTTAACCAATTGCCGCTCCTTTCTCTCACAAATTTAGTCACATCTTCATTCACTTTTCTAAACATTTAATAAATTGACACATTTTAAGTTTGATGTACACATCTGTTGTTATTTCATTTCATTTCATTTCAAGTTATTTATTTTGGCACTTGGTACGGCTAACTGTCACTGTATGGAATAAAGTTTGTCGAATAAAGAGTTTTTAAAATTGAAAGTTTTTCAACTGTAGATTTGAAGTTATTAACCTGATTTTTTAATTTATGCTAATTTTTTAAAGCAATAGATTCGCTTTATAGTGCCTGCGCATTTCCCAAAGTGAAAGCAGTTAATTCAAAATATTTCAGTTTTGTTATTTTTGGTGCATTTACTAATTTAATATGTAAATGAGTTTTAATGAATACTGTATTTGAATTTTGCAAAGCAATGAGAAAGAAAGAAAAATGCAAGAAAGAACCTATACCAAATATAAGAAGTTGTATAAAACTGAACCGGGTAAAAAAAAAAAAAACTAAAAAAAAACGATAAAAGTATTATCTTAATTGGAGATAGCAGACATTAATTCTCAGACACATTTAGCAAAGAAAAAAATTAGCATCTGCTCAAAGCGTATTTTATCTTTTGTTAACCTTACTCAGACCCTAATAACAAAAAATACTTACAGAACAGCGGATGTGGAACATTTCGTGGAGGTGGTGGTGGTGGTGGTTGGAGAAAGTGTTGTGCGAACCACTTGAAAATGTCCGGATTAATTTCAAGGGAGGCAAGATATTCCAAGTAGTCGTTATAAGCGGCTGTATCCCTTCTGAAGACCTCGCTTATCTACAATAGCAAAAACTAAATAAACACAACAGAAAAGTCACAGTTATCATCGTTCTTAACATAAATATTTTAATTCAACATTGGATTGTGAAATACTTGTCAGATTTTGGAAGTTTATAAATTTACAGTACATGAAAGAAAATCGTCTTTCATAAAGTATTTTAGGAATATTTTTATTTTTATTTATTTGTTTAATATTTTTAGGGACATTTTAGTGCATCAGATCATCATCCGAACAAAATTCTGTACCAAAAAGCAGTGGCCGTATGAGAAAGATACCTATGATATATACCAATATTCTTCAACTGAAGTAATAAGAATGTCAGATTAAAAGATAAAATTCTTTAGAAATTGTTCTGTTCACATTTTGGATATGTATTTGTGTAGATATGTGTTTATGGAAACCTTAACGAGTCAGTGTGCTTTAAAAGTAAAATCTTGCTTTATCTTGTCGCTCTTCGATCGGGCGGTGGTTCATCCTGCAAATGGGGACGCAAGTTTGAATTCTAGCGGAGGGAACGTTTTTTTTGTATTAAGTTTTCTCGGGTACACAGGCCGGCAGATGGAATAAATATTGTTTATAATAGACAGGGCGTCTACTCAAATATGCGTATTAATTAAAATAATATTTGAAGTAATAAAAATATATCAGATTAAAAATAAAATTCGTCAATTGTTTATACATATATATATATATATATATATATATATATATATATATATATATATATAAAGAATTAATGGATTTATATTGTAATCCTATATATATATATATATATATATATATATATATATATATATATATATATATATATTCTTAAAATACATTTATAAAATGCAATGGTAGAGGTCATCAGTAATGTCACCCTGGCTTCATTAGATCCGTTCTGCCAGGTACTCCGACCTGTTAACAGGCCGCCTCTCCGCATAATTTGCTCCACTATGTGATATTAATAACAGAAAATGTATTAATAATCAGGAGGTAGATCTTTCTTTTATAATGGCAACTAGACTTGCATTAGCCTATCAAAATTTGGTTGTCTGCTTTCGAGAGGTATAAGAACAAAAACGCGACATGCGCGCGCTTTCTAGCTTTGCCTCTCCTGCACATGCGCCAATGTTATGGTAAGTCTTTTTCTTTTGCATTTACTTGAGGAAAAACAAAAAGAAAAAACATAAAAGAAAATTGTTTCATTCAACGAACGGACTTATTCATAAACTTGAATCCACTGATCATTTCTTTTCAGCCAAATCCACCGGAATCCTTCTTCAGCTGCATCTGAGCATTCTTTCAGTACTTTCTTTTTTACGGCTCCCACGATTCCAATTTTCGTTAATGCTTTGCACAGTGAGTGTCCCACAAAACCTCTGCACTCCATTTCTATCGGATCGAAGTAAGTTTTCCAACCATTTGCTGGCAACTTTCGACCAATTCCTGGTATTTCTTACGCTTTCTTTCGTTGGCCAGCGTAATGTCTTCTTCTCTAGCAACCGATAATTCCCAAATTATTAACTTCTTTGTGCTATTCGAATAAATTAATAGATCGGGGCGGTAGTCTTGTCGTACAATATGACTTGGGAATTTCAATTATTTTTTTCAGGTCCGCAATCAGCTGCTAGTCGAGTGCTGTTGAAATCATGTTTGGGGCATTCTTTTCAGATCCTGTTTTCTTTCCTCCGTCGTTAATAAAATGTATTAGAGGCTGTCTTAATCCTGCTTTATAATTGCACGACCTGATGGCTTTCCTGACTGTATTCGCTAAGGCTCTGGGGACCTGGTCATCGCACCAACGATACCGACCATCTCCTAAAGCATTGGGACAGCATCTTAATATGTGCTGCAACGAACTTCTCTTTCCACACAGTTGGGTGTTTCGTTCATTCCCCATACATTCAGATTTGCTGCTCTTGGGAGAACTTCGTAGACCGATTTTATTAGGAACTGAATTCTACTAAAGTCAACGCGACAGCAATCTGTCTAATTCATCTTACGCTGTTCAGTTCCTTCTCATTTTGTCCATGCTCCTTGTTGGCAAAGCCCAACCATATTTCTATAACGGTTTTCCTCGGCACCTGTTCGAACCTCGTTTAGTAATAACTGGCGCCTTTCTTTACCTTGGGCCTTATCGTAACGTTTACTGGGAAAGTAGCCCAGTCCTGCCTTTTCTCCCTATTACCGTGATCCCTATTAAGGCTTTTTTGTCTTAGCCTCTCTTCTGCCACAGCTAATTCCGTACTGGCGCTCCATTTTCTCCTTGTCTGAGTCTCTATTCCTGCTCCTTTCATTTTCGGGTGTTTAGATTCTCTGAATTGGATGACTTCCCTAGTCCGGCTTACTAGGAATTCCACTTTGATGCTACTAAGTGGCAGCTTTAACATGTTTGTGTTACCATACAGCGCAGCACTGCTTAAACTTCGAGCTAACCCAAGTCATCTTTATAGGCGCGTTGTTATTCTCCACTTCAGAGTTTCCACCGTAGTGATAGGGACTTCATATAGCTGAAGCGGCCAAAGCAATCTGGTTAATAATGAGTGTTGAAATACCCATGCTTTAAATTGGACTGGCAGGCCTGATTTATCAGTTTTTAATAAGGCTGTGTCTAAGTCTTCAATAATCTGACGGATATGGGCGGTATCTTTCAGACTACTGTCGAATATATTGCCTAAGCTCTTGATTGGTTTCTCTGAAAGCGTTGAGATATTAGTTCCCGGAATAGTAAATCTATATTTGTCGGTGACCTGACCTTTTTTAATCACCAGAGAACTTGATTTAGCTGGTTTGAATTTCATCCTAGTCCAATTCATGTTCCTTTCAAGACCCCTCAAGAGCCATTTGGCACCTGTTACAGAGTTCGTTGTAACTGTAAAGTCATCCACACACACACATATTTCATTGAATACGACAGAGAAGGTGCTTTTATTTAGTTCTTTATACAATTTCTCATGCGATCTAATATTTTTTTCTGTTCAGAAGATAAATTATATAAAAACTGTCCGAATGTTCTTTTTATCTGAGCGCTTTCGTCTATACATTTAGCCATTTTCAAGGATTAAATATTTTAATTGCTAGATAAGAAATAGTTTGTTGCATGTATGTTTATAAAATGCTTTAATTTTTAAAAACACGCTCAAGATATTCTGTCCATGTTTCTTATTTAACCAAATGTAGGTATATGTGTATTTATTAATATATATATATATATATATATATATATATATATATATATATATATACCAAATGTAGGTATATGTGTATTTATTAATATATATTTATTAGCTCTGTCCTATGGCCTTGAGCACTATTATGTCTACATCGGTTGACTAAATTTGGTAATTATTTATTTGCTTACCAGTGTATGTACGTCAGCCCGTGCGTATACGGTCGCTAATATCTAGTTATCTCATTTACCTAACCCATACATATAATATATATATATATATATATATATATATATATATATATATATATATATATATATAAATTTGATATTTTATCCAACATTATTTTTATTGCTATAAACGGGGATATACGTGTTAGAATTGACTTTTTTTCAAATAAATTTCTACCTGCCTCGAGATAAAAATATCTTATTAAAAATTATATGTTAAAAGGTGGTTTCCTACGATAAGTAAATGCAGTTCGATACCTACTGAGAAGTAACATTTCTTTAATAAGGACTTCTATGTCCAGATCCATTTGGTTAAATTTTGGAAAGTCGTTTGCACCAATAAATTTTCAGAGTCCTTTTAGCATATAATATGTGCTACATAAAAATCCAGAAAAATTGATCAATCTATTCCCCTGTTAACCTACCCTGCGTTTGACACGATATTTCACACGCCTCTGAAAGATACATCATTGTAAAATATAAAGAAATAATTTTCTATCAATTGTTTTTCTTTCTTTGGGGGAAGGCATTTTGCACCTTAAGCTCCTCGAAATTCTGATTTGCATTTTGTATGTGTACGCGTGTGCAGATTTCAAAATTGCCAGCGTTTTTATATTAACGCGTAATACCGTGGTTTGCTTTGTGTCCGATCTACATTGATCATATTAAATATTTAAATAGAAAACATTAGAAGAAATTTATTTAAAAAGCTACACTGAATATGACGTTCTCATTTAACCCTTCAACTACTAGAAATATTACTTTTTCACATCTAATGATGATCAAAAATTTAAACAACTTATCTTTTTTATTGATTTTAATTATTTATAGAAAATATTTACCAGAATAATACGAGAAAAAGTAAAAATAACAGCATTAATTTCTTTAGTAAATTGGTTTATAAGCAAAGAAGATATTACATTGGTACTTATAAACTTTGCAGGTGTACAAGACAAATGTTAAGCAACGTCGAACCTGATCATTACCAAGATGGGTGACCGTTTGGGAATACCAAGTTATGTAAGCTTGGATGAACGTGTGGTGCAATGGATAACAGCTCGGAATTGTTAATCGGAGTTCCAATTCTAGCGAAGTTCGTTATCTTCACTTCACTTACGTGCAAATAACCTAAAGTATTAATCCATTTCTTTTCTCCCTTTGTTGTGGATTAATTTGTAAAAATTTTAACAGTAAATCATTATTATCTCCAAAAAATTCTTAAAATCTAAAAATATTTTCTGGCTTTAAATAACCAGCAAAGAGTCGATAAGCCGTAAAAAAAAAAACAAATTACTCAATCAACTCTGTATATGGGTAATGCTTTCAAGTGTTACTTAAATAGTTGTTTACTAAGCGGATCTGCCATAGATTCTTCATAGATCAATCTTACTACACTAGTCTTGAAATACTATTTTAAGAACCCTCCCCTATAGGATAGGCACCCAAGGGGGATCAAATAAATTTCTGCGACTGCAGTGTTAATGATGCACACTAAATTTGTACTTACATGACTGAAGATTGATTGGACGAGCTTGTGATTTTTGTACCATGTTTCCAGTTGCTTTAACCAGTTTTTCGCATTAAGATTAGTTTCATTTTTGAGTTGATTAATCACTAATTTCCAATCGTTGAAATCTTTTTCAGATAATAAATACGGGAACCATTCGAACGATCTTTTCAAATATTCCAGAGATTCTACTTTATTCTTTCTAAAGTCAGGCTTGGGAGGTATTGGTTGAAAAGGTGGTTGATATGGTGGATAAC